ATTTTAAGCTTTTCAGCGATATAAGCTATAATATGTTTTCTTCAAAAAATTACTGAGTTATAGCCAATTCTTATAATTTTTAAACAATTTCACTTAGTTAGCCATGGAAACAAGTTCAATCGCCGTTGCTCTCAGAAATGTGAAGCTGTCACATCCAAACTTTGTAAATTAAAATAAACAAAAATTGTAAATATGAATTTTTCAAATGAAGAAAAGCGTGTAGATACTCGCGCATCAATAGAGTGGTTCCAACTTGACTTTCATTATGACCCTCCCTAAAATGAAAGAAATGTTAAACATTATTTATATCATAATTATTTAGACTCAGGGAAGAAAGAGGTGGACCAATTGCATGGGACTCGATTACCTAACCTATCCATTTTAGATTTTTTTTATGCGGTATGGTTAACGAGAAGGTTTACAAAAAACTAAAAAAATTTATGAATTAAGAGAGGCACTCGAAGTGGCGGTACGAGAGAAGTTTAATTAAGTCGACCGGTCCTTCTGTGAGAATAGGTAGTAATTCAGTTTTAAAAAGATTCAACTAAAAACAATGGCGGATTTTTTTGAACATTTTCTAATATAACTTGAAGTGTATGTAGTGATATTATTTTTTTAAGTTTTAGTTCGTGTAATGTACATTGTAAAGAACCGTTTAATAAGATATTCTGACATTTATAAGTTATAAATTATAACAGAATAAGAATACCATGCAATCTAAGTGAAATTAGTCAAGAAAGATAAGAATTGGCTATAACTAATTTAACCTTTCTAATATGTCTTGAAAACCTTTCTCTAAAAAACGCAACATTCACCGGTCAACGTATCCTCGAAAATGTATGGTCAAGAAAAGTTAAACCAATAATAATCCTACACACATTTCCTCAGTTGAAAAATTGATATTTACAATTTTTGTTTATTTTAACTTACAAAGTTTGGATGTGACAGTTTGATATTTCTTAGAGCAACGACGATTGAACTTGTTTCCATGGCTAACTATGTGAAATTGTTTAAAAATTATAAGAATTAGCTATAACTCAGTAATTTTTCGAAGAAAACATATTATAGCTTATATCGCCGAAAAGCTTAAAAAATGGCGCTTTTTATGAAGTCATGGCCAACTTTGGTTTGTGTCATATGTCAAAAATTACAGGCTTTAGAGAAAAACGGAGGACACAATCTCATTAAGGATGTGATTATCTACAACTTTTAACTGAAAACTTTTTGTCTAAAATAGCTTATAATGGAATTAGGGACAATTTTTAAAATAGCCGAAATTTGTTTTTTTCGAAATATCTATTATGTAAGCCATGAATTTCTTCAAAAATCTGAAAGGCGCATATTTATGACCCCACAAAACTGCAATTCTTTCCCCATTTAACCGACTCTCTATCTCCAGTAGTTTCCGAGATACCCATAGAGAACATCGTAGGAAACTCGCCCTGTATATATGTTTGTTGCTATAACAGAACGTTATACAGATCTATAACAAAACATCGAAAAATTTCACTTTAACGGTTTCTTATAATACTAAGACGAGTGGATCAGTTTAAATTTGGAGGTGATTCAATGCTCTTTAATGTTTTATTCTAAGTGCCATCAACACCCCCTAATTGTATGTACAATGAAGTAACGTTTACTGAAAACTTTTAGTAAATTTTATCCGCACTAGAAAAATGCTATCTAGATGTAGAATTTTTTCAAAATGTTTAGTTGAAGAACAGCCAGAGACGCTGTGTATACGATTTCATTTTTATCTCCATATAATAATGTTTCTTACTCTGTCGGTACTGTCGCCATTGTACTGAGACTGATTTCGTTGTTTGTGGGGTCCGAGTAATCCGGATTTAAAGCGAGCTGCGCGGTGGTTCTACGGGACCCAGACATGGTACTGGACCCGCCGTGATGGCGGTACCATGAATCGATGACACTCCTTAAGGCACACACATATTTCTCGGATCGGTTTATGAAATATGTATGGCGCACGGCGCGCGGCGGGCTTCTATGGAAATAGAGATCTAATTATTTGGAATTGAAGCTTGGCAGATTGATAGATTACGATACTGGGGTGTTGTGTGGGTGGTTTTTAGATAAGCTCAAGATAAGTCAAAGTGGCATAATATCTTTTGTGTGTTTATACGGAGAGATTCAAAAAGATTGAAATAGTTGGCTATTCTGATTATGCGCATTTGGTTGTCAACGAGCTTGGCAATAAATTTAAAAAAAAACGATTATTTCTCAGCTGTTTTCGCTAGTACAAACTAAAAGTTTTAATGAAACGGTTACATTTTTAATGTTAGTTAAATTAGTTTTCCATAATAGTGACGAGATGAGAACTAAATGGGTTTAACTTGGAGATTTTCTAATTTAATATTTTTAAAACTCTGTCTTCTATCATATCTCATCATTTTTCTATTATACTAAGCTGTATCTATCTCTAATAGTTTTCGAGATAAAAAACAAAACATGTGCAAAATTGATAAAAACATGATCTTAAATAAGCATTGTTTAAATCATGAATTGAAGGTTTCTAAAGTTGAAATTCGGGACATTTATTAACAAAAGTCGATATATTGATCTGTCTATATCAACCGATTGGATATTAACACAGGGAGAGCAACAACATTAATTAAAAATGTAATAAATATCCAGGATGTTTCGATTGACGCTAATAAGGATGTTACCACTTAGTAGGAACCAGCAACACTGTAACGCTAAAAATAATTTAGATACCTAGATGGAGTAGGTTCCTGTATCTAAAAATTCAAAATTTCAAAAAAAAAATGACCAGTTTTCCATAAACGTATAACCACAGTATAACCCACCATCGCCATGAATCACCCTATATAATAGATAAGTTACGTGCTCATAATCATCATCATTGCTATCATTTTCAGCTTATTAAACCATTTCCAATTATGTTGTAGCCTCTCTCACATATTTAGATACTCTGTTTATAATTGGGCCTATTATTGTCCATTGTTAGCTATGCGGGCGCAAGTTATCTCTGGTAATTTCCTAATATCATTGTTACATCTCAAGTTTGGTCTTCCTCTAGGTCTCTTAATTCCTCGTGGGTACCATTCTGTCATTTTTGTGATCCATCTGTTGTCTGTCCTTCTTGCCAGGTGTCCTATCCATTGCTACTTGAGGGATTTGATTCTGTGGATGACATCTGTTACCTGGGTCTTTTGTCGTATCCACTCTATTCTTTTACGGCCTTCTTGGTTATTCTCAGCATATTCTTTTCCATTGAGCATTTTGCAACCTGCAGTTTTCTTATAACGTCCGTCTTAAGTGTCCAGGTTTCACATACATAGGTCATGACTAGTACACATTGGTCGAATGTTCTCTTCTTCAGATAAAGTGGCGTTTTAGATTTTAATATATTTCAGTTTCTTCCATGCTCATAATAAATTTTGGTAATAAAAAGCATATTAAGGTACCATAAACTAGTATATTACAAATAATTTGTTAGGTGTCCAACATACAGTATGATATATTTGAAATTAGATAATGGTAAAGAGTTCTACATATTTATATATTTTTTTTATATGGGCTTATTATATTGTTATATCTTCTGTTGGTACTTCCTGGTAACTGTGCTCACAAATTACTTACTTGTACTGGCTATTGGATGCTTATGTCCAATTTCTAACCTTGCTTTGAATACCGGGACGAAATAAAGCCTCTATTTTCTAAGTATTCCGTTTCAATATTGAGAAATAAGACGATTTTACAAATAGCATAGTTAAAACTTTCAAGAAGAAAAAGAAAAGTTTACAAAATTGACTTGAATTGACATAATTTGCTAAAGTTTCTTGATCGGAAATTTGGAAATCATTGGGATTTCTCCGTACAATCGAAGATCAATATTAATGAAATTTTGAACCTCTAAATATAATAAATGTGTCCAAAAATTTGAAATGGAGTGAATAAAGGAACTAAATCTAGTTAATATCATATATGACTTCAGAACAAGAAACTGGGTTGACCTTGAGATTTTAAAAGATTTTAATACCTACTCGTTTTCGTGACTCTTTCATTATTAGACTTAAGGTAGTATCAGACACAGCTATAACGTTTGTTGCGCAGTTTTTATGCAGCAGCTGCCTAAAAAAGTTGCAGGTCGACACTACATGCTTTTCATATGTTCACATCAAAGCGCTACTTTTGCAACATATTTTGGTAGCCGCAGCCTTGGAGGGGCAACATTCAACAGTACACCACCCACAGCTCAAGGTATCGTGTGTGTACCTTTTGGGAGACGGTTGCGTTTTTTTTTAAATGGATGAGTGGATGTGTGGATGAGTGGATGAAATGGATGAGACAGAAGCAGCGACAAAAAAAACAAGAGTGTGGGCCGGGGAATGGATAAGAAAGCGCGAACAGTTGGGTGCATTCAATAATTTACTTACTGAATTGCATGCTCAAGACGAGTGGCACTTTAAAAATTCTATTAAACATTTTACTTGTTCTCTGTTCCAAATCGCTTGTTTTGACTACGACGACATCGCAATTGGTCGGTTAATTCTTTACTAAATACCTACATATAAATCCTGGAGTTAACTGAAAAAAAGTGTATACATTTCGGGCATAGAATACCAATAGATATATTGCTGATACATATACCAACAGAATACTGTACCGATGTCCGCAGTAAAAGTTTCAACTAATTAGTAATCTATTGCTGCACTTGCAACCTTCCTCAACAACTGTTCACACACGGCTATTTCTTAAACTGAGCGCCACAAAAAAGTAGCCTATGCAACCAAGCTGCGATCGTAACGTTGCAGGTTGCCTAGGTATTCAGTATCCACACTTGCAGCAGATCAAGTTGCACAGTTTTTTAATGTGCTGCGCAACAAAGGTAGCTATGTCTGTTACTACCTTTATACTATTCAATTCAATGTGAAACCAGCATAGAAACGTAGTGGGTATCTAATTAACTATTTGATCATATTATCTACATTTGCTACTGGCTCTATAATAATCAATAGTATGTTCGTATTTTCCAGCCGTTGCGGCAAGAAAACAGAGGCGGGAGCGGACCACTTATAGCAAGGAGCAGCTACAAGTCTTGGAAATTTTGTTCGACAAGACCAGGTACCCCGACATTTTTATGAGGGAAGAAGTTGCCGCTAAAATTGGGGTAGCAGAATCCAGGGTGCAGGTAAATACCGAAATATTATAGATGATAATAATAAAACTAAAGGGACTTAAGGCACGTTTTCACGAGCCAAGTGAACTGTTGAAGTCGCAGGAATTCAACTTACTGGAAAGAATGTTCGGCTTAAGCTGAAAATTTCTTTCCCTAATTTTGTATTTCGGATTCTGTGTGTTCCATATATCCTCATATTTTTCATTAATATTAAAAAAAACTCCACAGAATTTTCTTCTGCCTATCTACCAGTTATGGTATCAGTAAGTTATATATGCATTATCTATACAGGTGCATTAGGTAAATGTCTCTTACCTTCAAATATACCAAATAAATGCTCTAATTTTCATTTTTTTAGAAACTCCTTTAAAGAATCCATATATCCTAAAATTTGTCCATAAAAAATGACAAATGCGTGTTAATAACGATCACTAATTTGTTATACGATATGTGTTTAAAAAGCAAATTATACAAAATTCCAAGCAACAAAACCCATGCGTACTATGATGTGCGATCTGTGAAATGCGACGTGAGACTGATCGGACTGCCGACTGATTGTATATACCGTCCTTCGTCATCGTCATTGCGTGTCGTTATTATTTTTCATCAAAAGAGTATTTAGCTATTGGAAAAATGGCCATGTTTCTTGAATGAAGTACTTCCTAGCGTATTTTTGTTATTATCTAAAACAAAGTAACTTGCACTTGGTTGAATGAAAATAGATTCAAGAGACATTTTCGAATTTTTCAAGAGAACAAGTTTTCTTGAGTTAAGAGAATTTTTCTTCAGGCAAAATATTTTCTTTTACGCTAAAATAAATACTCTTGCCACTAATTTTTTTTTTCAAGAATGATGACGACTTTAGTTCAAGTCTATCTTTTTTATCAGTGTGCGTAACGCTATTTCTGCTCGGCTTAAGCTAAACATTTCTTTCCTTAATTTTATATTTCGGATTCTGTGTGTTCCATATACACTCATATTTTCCTTTAATATTAAAAAAAATCACAGAATTTTCTTCTGCCTATCTACCATTTATCATCTCCATTATAAAAACACCACTAGAACACCAAAAGTCCCCGCCTTATCTAGTCAACTGAGACATGAATCAACTCATTTGAACAATTTTTATAATGTTACTTGGTTCACGAAAACGCGCCTTTAGTTAAAGAAATTCTTGTTAAAGGAAACATATTATATGTCATTATATTGAGAGAGTCATTTTCTATCGAAGTGACCGAAAACAATTGAATACTATGTAAATCAATCCTAATTTATGTCATAAACCTATTAACAATGTCAACTTTTGACATTTTTGCTTAAAACAAAATTGTATTTTAAATTTCAATCTAGAGTGCAATGGCTGTGTTAAAAACACTAATTTTTAATCGAGAAGCCTTGGAAAATTATATTTAATCGCCTAATGTTTTTAGTGTAATGTTTTTAGTATAAGTCTTTAGTGTTGCCCTGGCCGGTTAAAATATGTCCAAATCTTATTTTTTTATCATATCTCAATTTTTTAAAATGGGGGTGGCTCATTAACATATTTGGAAAAATCATTTTTTGCGAATAATTTGGTACCACACACTTGGTATTTCGAATCAAATTGTCGTTACGAATCGCATGTATTTTCAAATAAACCATTTTCGACAATGTCAAAAGTTAACATTTGATATGCCACTCTATTCATTTGAACCACACACCATCACTGGTTTGAACTGAAAATGCTGGATATTTTGATATCACCGAAAAAAAAACTTAAAATACACACAAACCTTTCAGTGGTTTTTGAAAAACAAATTTGCAATGTATCACACTAAAAGATATAAATAAGGAAAGAAAAATCTCAGCGTCACTCTCACAAAAGCGAATCGAATCTCCGAAAGTGTCAGCTGGACAAAGGCCTGTTTATGATTATTGTGATGATTCGGTACAGACCGGGCAAACTAAAAACGCATATGTTACACACATCTATCTCCCTTCTTTCCTCTCCGTCCCTGTAACGGTGCTTTATTGCGGCGTGTCGATGACAATGCCATAATGCCAAGGGCGGTATATTTGCTCTGCCATCGGTAATGATTCAATTTAGTGCCTGGTTAGTCTTTTCAGAGAGACGTGCAGCTGCCTGCTTGCTGCCTCTCTCTCTATGTCGTGACGTTTGTGCAATGTATGGGGGGCGACGGTGTAGCTATAGAGCTATTCATCATCGGAATCGTACAACAAAACAAATAAGAACGGGGTAGAAAAATTCATAAGTTTGGGTTGATACATGGTAGGAATTATCCACTAAATTATACTATAGATATCAGAAGTCCTAATAATGTTACGCATTAATTGCATCTGTCACCGTTTAATAGGTTGATGGAAGTTCGAGCCATTTTTTTCTAAAAAATTACAATTAATAGACAAAAAACACAATGAGAAATTAAGTTTTTCTATTTAACCAATAATGATCTACATTTGAGTATTTAAAATAATACACCTTTTGGTTTACGATTTTAAACTTCATTTGATTAATTTGATTTTTCTTCTGATGATAGGAAATATATTTAAATCTACCTATAATCTGTTAAATTAATAGCAAATGAAAAAATCATCAGATTTAAATCATTTCATTTTAATTTTTTCTGGTGGTTTCAGAAATAAATATAATTTATCTACATCATACAATAATGGTAGTTTTATCTATTCATATCAAGAGTTTAAAGCAACGACTGAAGAATCCAAGGACATATAACACCCGAGACCAAATTGTTACCATGGCTCCAAACAGTGCCGTGGCCATATATTTTTCTTAACTTAGCTGCTTAAAGGGATATTTATATTTTTGATAAATGTTTTAACTAGGCCTATGGTGTAGGCGGTGGTATCTTACTAATTAATTACGAAAAAAAACTATTAAAATGTTCAAAAATAAAACTAACAAAAGGTTCAAAACTAGTATCGACGATTAGCACATATCAAGTATATATAGTATCAGAAAAATAATTAGCAAATTCAATAAGAAAACGCTAAAAAGGCGGAGTGGACTGTTTATTTACTTCTGAAACGCAACTCCTGGCTGTTTCTTATCATTGCGGCTTTTACACTTGAAAGCTGAACACATCACCATTGTAATAAAGTTTAAACAAAGTTCACTACACACAAAAATTATTAAAAATCGCTAAAATTGTCGCCGTTGACGAGGTGGTGACTCATCCGTAGGCTCTATTATGATGGCGTCTAACGTAACAAATTCTGCTGCAGCTCCTATATGGGCGTTACATATCCTGGTATTTTTTAGTCATTGGTTAAAGTAATTTTATTTAGGCTTCCAAAAAAGCTTTATATTACGTTTTTGGTTGAATGATAAAGTACAGTCTGAAAATATTTTTGGCAATATACAGTATGTCCCTGGATTGTCTTGACAAGAGGAAAAACTTTTTTAATACTGACATGTATTTTTAGTAAAGAATTTTGCTTGTTATACTTGCGTTTATAGTTTTCCTTGTTTTTATAATAATTTCCTTGTTTTTTATAAGTTTCCATACCGTTTTAGAGGAAATTAAAAAAAAAAACATGGAAATATTTAAAAAATTTCCTAAAAATCAAAAGGCGTTTCTATGGTATTATTATTTCGATTTCATTCTTTGATAGATAGGTACTAAAATATATATATATCCCTTTTAAAATTCTAAATTCGAAAGAATTTTAAAAATTTTTAACAGGAAAGTACCCACTGAAAAGGAAGTACCTACTGTATAATAGTGTCTTCTTCAAAATTCGGTCTACCAAAATTTGCAATCTTGTTTGATATATACAGGGCGAATCAAAACTAAATGTTGTATTTTTCTCCACTATTTTAAAAACATAAGGTTTATAAGGTTTTGATTATTTTGTTTGTGTTTTATTCAGCACTTCCTATACCTAAAATCGATATTTAATGAGAAATTTTTTTTTGGCATATATAAAACAATATCTGACTTTCGCTCTTTCAATAAGACAATATCTGAGTTTATCATTTATAGTGTCATACCTATTTACTACAGTGTGGACTATCTGTCACATAATATTGAATATTACGCCTATTTAGTAATCCATTACCTTTAAAGTTGGCTTCATAGCAAAATATGATTTTAGTTAAATGCCCCAATCTTCATGAACTGTATTAAGTATATGCATTGCGGAATTAATTCTATTCATAGTCATTTAGACCTTGATGTAGTTCCAATTGATAAAGATTGCAACCCTACTCTGAGAAACGTCGGTTTGAGCCGATGTTTCTGGAGAGGAAGCATTACGATTTTCTTTTCCTAATAATAATAGTACATTCAGCTTACTCTCTTCTTTTATACAACATCTAATATATTTTAGTATAATCCACATTGCCTGTACTATCAAATCTTTGTTTTGATTTTTTGAGTACGGATACTTGTGGTGCCCTTAAATCTGGATATCTTTGATGATAACTTCTTCTCGCTTAAAAAATATTTTAAGCTACTCCAATATAATAAATAATATTTATTAATTTGTCACGTTTAAAATTGATTATTGGATTAATTAAAAGGTGTTTCTACTTTGTTAAAAAACCTTACTTTGTTGTAGTTTTAATAATAAACGCTATCTATTCAAAAAATGTTCTAATAAAATATCGGTTTGAAAAATATTTCCAAAATGTGCGTTACCATTGCTCCCATACTCTACAAAAATTGAAATGAAATTGAAAACCAAAAACCTCTTACAGAGCTTTTTCGGAAGCTTGAATCACCCTGTTTATGTTTCACTCGAGGAATACTGAAATTAGAAATACGAAATTTTTAATCATATTTCCCAGTATCATCTATGTTTTTGTAGACTTATAAAGCAGCTTTTAACATTGAATAATTTGACCACATGGACGAAATTACGATTTTTTTCTTGATATTTAAAAAATACGACCACATAACATCTTCATAGTTGCTTCTTGACCTAACCTAACTTCCTTTCTTGAGGAATACCATCATCATATTCTTGCATTTTCCGTGTTTTTTTTTTAA